GCACAATGATGCACATGAAACAGTGAAGCACAGTTGTTGGGCAGCACAAAAGTGCAATCTGATATTCCTGTGAGGGACAGTTGGTGCAGTACACAACACAGCTGTGCTTCTTTGAGCTGTTTACCAAGTGACCCAAAGAGTGACTTCAGCACAGGAGTGTTAATAAGCTTCAACCAAATTCATTAATCTCTGCAGCAGGTACACATGCTTGCACTTGTTTGCATTGTTCACCTACCCTACATGTAGAACAAAACAATATGCTCATTCACTCATCGTGCACGTTGATGTTGGGTGTATTGGCTTTGATGATGCGTCATTTTAGAATACGGAAGCCGATACACATTTATAACTGTTCTGCAGCTGTACTAAATTTCAAAGTTTGCACACAAATATGGAGGCTCCCTGCAGGCTACACTTCACACATCGATTAAGCACTCTTGTTATTCAATATACACATAGCTTTATGGCTGCAACAGAGTCTTTGACTGCTGGTTGGGAATTCCCCTTGGGAAACAACAGTGCGTCATGTTCCTGTATCTGTTAGCAAGTCATTTTGCCTTAATTTTTGTACACTTTACTCTGTGTATTTGGTAATGTTAAAATGCCTACAGGTAAATTGGCAATCTTATTAAATCTAATTAAAATCTCCAAGTTGCATTTTGCAGGGATACACGATGTGCCAAAGCGCTTGTCCATTCCACTCGCACCAACTGCCAAGCCAGCTATTGACCAGAGGCGCATCAGCCACCAACACTATCTACAGGTAAGCCTGCACGTTTCTAGTGGTCGTTATCATTTCAAAATAACTTTGACAAAGAAAACACATTTTCTTTGCTGTGTATATATGTACTGGCAGCTAGTGATACAAGTATACAGGTTTTATGTTTATTTTTCTAACCTTGTTTTTTTCTGAATCATCACACATTTCCAGTGAGATTATTAACAACGAATGTTTGGTCTCTTGGCATTTAGATTTATAACTTTCCATCCTTTTCGTTGCTCGTTCGCAATAATACAGACACAGCTCTACATGTTCTTCGTCATCCCTCATTTCTGAGTGCCTGCCATGTTAGGGAAATTTTTATACTCAACATGTAGTTGGAGGTCGTTCTGAATTTGTGTATTACCTAGCCTAGACATTTGGTCATAGAATCAGGTACATAACTCAATACGATTTTTGGAGGGCCATAAATAGATTTTTTTGATTTGATGGAGTTTGATGTCAGTGGATCATACTCATAAACCAAAGTCACAATAGTGTTTTTAAATTTCATTCGCAGCAATTGCTTGCACGACCCTTGCTACATTGCAGTAGAGAGCTTGCAGAGTTCCTTGCCTTGGAGGGAAACACACACATAGAATACGTCAGGCACCATCCAAGAGAATATGTTCCACGGATAGATAAGGTACAAAGGTTTTCGAAAAGTACATTTATTAGGTCATCTGAAAATATCAAATGTTCCCATTACATGTACCTGTGGAGACACTTTTGCTTTTACCTCGTTTGTTTGTGTGCTGCGTTTAGTCGTTTGGAAGTTTCAAACCAAAGCAGAGTGTACACATCAGCCTCTCTCTGGCTGTTGAAAGTGAGCAGAATATGAACCAGAAGAACTGTTGTTTAACGAACACTCTTGAGATGTTCACTTTGTAGAAGTTCTCATACAAGTGTATCACTTTTGTTTTGCAAAATTTGCCTTTCATCTTGTGCAACTGCGGAGTTTAAAAAGCTAGATGAAATGGAGTCAGGTTGGCATAGTGATTTTCTGCAGTGTTTGATTCCGAGCCCAGTCCCTACGTTGATTGGGTTTTCAGTCCTTCCTGATTTTGTTTTGCCCAGAATGTTCTTCTATGCTTTACTCCCACCTCTAAAACTGTTCCTGCTGTTCATTGTCTTGCACCTTACAGGATTCTTTGGGCTTTTAAGTGACAGCCCCTTAGGTTCTTTAGGGGAATCTTTGCTTTAATTACCAGAAATGCTTAATGATCTCTTGCTTTCATTGTCACTTGTATCTAAACCAGATGCTGCGAAACCGGGTATCAGGCCTTGTGGAGTCCATCAAACATGCCAGATCTGCCATTCCTCGGGCCCTGAGTGACATTGGTCCACTGCCTCCCATGAGTCCTCCCATGTCACCTGTAAGGAAATCCAGGGGGTCTCATCAGGAGACAGACAAGAAGGTGCTCTCTCCTCCAACATCTCAAAGGCCAGGATCTCCCTCTCCCATTGATGAACAGGATGGCAGCGGTGGGGACAGGATATTTGTGTTTGATAGAAGGCCAAAGGTAATGATTGTAGGCATTGCCTACCATTATGGTGTCTTTACTTGGATAGCCAGTTTCTGCTTTTTGGGGGGAAGGTGTTTTTCTTCTGCAATTATTGGCCAAATATTGTTACCGTGACTGTCTCAAACTTTGTCCAAACTACACATAGGTCATAGAGGATGGCCGTTGTAATGCAAAACAGTGAACTGACTTTGTTTCGAAATAACTACAGTGCAGTTGTACTCCAAGTTCTGCTTACATTTAATAATTTTGAATTACTCTTTTTCAGACAACAGTGCAGTTAGCAACATGCAGCATTATTCAAGACCATAGTATGAAGACTTGTGCCAATGTCACATCACCTGCATACCGTCCCGCTGCAACCACTCCCATTAACCATCACAGCCTTGGTCCACGCTCTAATGGAGATGGCTATGAATCTCCAGAAATGGCACCAGCAGAGACACCATCAGATGAGAGAGAGTCCAGTACAGTGCTGGGGTCAGAGAAGGTCGCACTCTTGGATTCAGTGCTGTGTTTCCTTGGAGACATCTTTCATGACAAGGACCTGTGGTTCTTGGACGAGGGTTTTCAGAGTGTGCTGACGATACTTGCAGGAGATCTTCTTGATGGGTCAGCCTCAGCCTTTGATAACATAATGCACTTTTTTTAATCCCTTGATAGAGTCTTTGTAATGTCCACCAAGAGTATAATCTCTATGTGAATGCAGCAAAAATCTGAAGTAATTTGCAAGGAAATCCCCATTGCCTCTGAGAAGTTCATCAAGACTAACACATCTTTCAAACTAAAATGTCAGAAGCAAGAAGTATTCATTTATGAGACCATCATTTCATCCAATTGAATTTTTTCACAGAAATGTGGCGAATGGCTTCTCAGGTTAAGTTTGTGAAACTGTAACAACTTTGAGTAACATAGCCAGTGTTTGAAGAATAATTCCAACATCGTTGCTGGTTGTAATTTTTCTAAGTTAATATTTGAATTCTAGATGGATAGAAAGACAAGTGAATTTGCTTCTGTCGGACCAATGGTGTGCCTTCTACATGGCTGAACTAAGAGAGGCACTCTGGCCTGGAGGGAAGTTGCTGTCTGCTAATGAGGGGACGGGTACAAGAACAGAGGCTGAGAAAGCAGCTACAATGAAGGAAGTTCTGACTATGCTTGTAGACGCAATGCCAGGTACATTTAGTGATCAGAGTATCGCCGTTGTCAAGTCTGCCACAATTCCTTGCAAGTCAAGCCTTAAGCAAGTCATAGCAAGCTCACAAGCCATCCATTCTTCAGACAAGTCACAAGCCATTCAAATGAACTGTGTGACAAAAATTATTACTTCTTTATTGTTCACCCCATTATTGTGGCTAGCCATGCAAAGGACTTGCAAAAGGACTTCTGATGGACTTGATTGCAACATGACATGCAGGTCTTACGAGAGGACTCGTGATGACCGGACTTGCGAAAGATTGTGTGATAGGTTTTCTTACAGCATTGCCAAATAATCAGGATAAAAATTGTACAAAGTCCCTACATGTACGCAGGTGGGTGACAAATCTGAACATTCTTCGGTCTTGCTTCTTTGGGTTTTTAGTTTGAATGATCAATTGTATATGGTTATCACAAGGGGTCAGTACAGCTAATTTTATATGCCTTGATACTTGTTGATGGAAGATGCTCCATCGATAGTCTTGATAATCTTCGGCACTTTGGAGACTACCATGGATCTCAAACCTTCCCAATGATTAGTTATTTTTGAACGGCCTTTGTGTTATGATTTCTCATCGTCAGTGAGAAAGGGCACTCTGTCACCCCTCGCTGTGGCCAATTTTGATCAGTGATAATCAGATAATGATGGCTTCTTCTGGGGTAGCAGTACACAATATTTATATGGGCACCAGGTGAAATTGACCACATTTTCTTAATGTGGCTTAAAATCTTTAGATACACATGTACCTTCAGATATAATTAATCACAAATCTTAAATTATGTATGAGCATAATTTTGCTTTAATTTGGAATGGACTTTTAGTTTATTTTCATTTCTGTTCCCAGGTTCCCAAAATGAAGTCAACCTCACTTTCATTTCAATATGGCAGCCTTGTGAATAGAGCAAATTGCAGCTGGACAAACTTGGCTGTTTGATGTTCACAGTGTTGGGACAAGTTGTATACGCTGGTTGGCACGTGACCTGTTCTTAGTGTGTATGACTAATTTTCTGCTGAATGTGCACAAAACAATGGCATCTTCTTGTGTGATATGACAATGGCACTTAAATTCTTGTGTCAGTCCAGCCTCTCTCTTTGTCCTTGTAGAGCAGGTCCTTGTGCTGGAGATGCACAAATCCATATTTGTATTCTACACAGGTGTTGATAAGCTAGAGTCCATGTGAGTTTGGAGTTTGGTCTCTTGCATGCACACTTAGTAAAACCACTTATTTGTCGTCTATTTGTCCAATGTCCAGACTTGTTCTACACAGTTGTTGACAAACAGGACTGGCAGGATGGGCTACAGCTGCTTCTAGATTCCTTGGGAGATCCTCAACTCAACAGGTATCGCCATATGTCCAATTTCATTTTCTCTTTACCTTCCATCACATCTGTGATAGGTTTGGCAACGTTCATGTCAAAAGGAAGAGCCTGATGTATGATTTTAATTAAGAGATTTTTAACCTCAACAGCTATGAGTCGTATCAGTAGTCGTGAGTCATTGCAGTATCTTGGGGCAGCATGCCATCTAGTCCAACAGTCCTGAGGACAGGCAGAAACAAATTTGGACTGACATTTTTAGCTCGTTCAAAATTTACCACTTCCATGATTACATCAATCTTTAGTACAGTTAAACAAGTCTTTGAAATGATTACATGCATGGAAGAACGTGTACAGTATGTCCTCAATATCACTAAGAGGTGTCAGTTTGACTTTGCAAAGCATGCCAAATATGTCTTTCTTGTCTGTTTTTCTTGCCTTCAGGCATCTGTTGTTCACCATCTTAGACTTAATGATGGATGCTTTGATTAGTGAAATCAAAGATGAAGACTTCCAGAAGAACCTCATTTCCAGGATTTGATGGTTGGGGTTGGTCATCATCCGTAAGTCAAAAGAAGAGAGCTACGTTTAATGTTTGTTTTCTTAATCAAGTCATTTGTTTTGATTTGGTTTTGAGGAGTTGAAAAGCTATGCACAGTTTATTTCATGTAGGCTGTATGCTATCTAGACAACTTCATTATCCTACTGCTGTAAACCTGAACAGTATTACTGAAATTTTAAAACAGAATTACATGTAGTAGCATAACTTCCTGGGCCTAGGCTCGTCACATTGGGGTGACATTCATAAATATGGCAACTGCTATGAGCATGTTTCACAAAAGATTTAAGTGAATTATAGTATAAAATGCTGAAGGCATGGGAAATTATGTGTTGCAGCTTTGTGAATCTGTAGGATTTAGGAGACATGTAACTTTATTGTTTTGGGTGCTGTAGTTTCCTGTGTGACAAAAGGAAGGGTTCATTGATATCCATATTGGACATTGTCAACGCCAAACAGTTCGATGCATGCAGTTGTTCAAGCGGCAATCCATTCATTGCTGTTGTGGAATGATTTTTCGCCGGCCTCAATCGGCGGGGTGAGATTTTCCAGCAAAAAGGCAAGCAGTTGATGGAAAAGCAGATGGTAATCCAATAACCTAAAATAATACTTGACTTCAGTCACAAGATTGCAAACAAGAGATTCAACATAGACGGTAATCCATTTGAAGTAATACCAGTCTATTACAGATCAATCTCCTCAAATCCATACCACAGACATATTACGCCAAGCTCATTCAATCTGGCAGTTATGTAAAGTACGTGTACATGTAGACAGTACACTCTGGCAGTTAGAACTCATCTTAGGACCCAGAATTTTGTGGCAGTAAACACAAAGGCGTAAATTGCCACAAAATTGCCAATATTCTGGCAACTTCAGGACATGAATGGCCTATGCATACAATTCACTACACTAATTGGGGTGAATAAACCCTGGATTAATTCCAGCAAATTATCAGTGTGGCTGTCTCGGGACAAACGTAAGTCCCGAGAAGTTTCGATGGTCAACTTTGAAGACTAGGCCCTAACGTTAGGACTACAACATGTACACTTGACTCAGACTTCTGAGATCCAGTTCTTTATTAACCCAACTTGTTGGTATTCACAAAGTTCAGCTGACTAGGTTCACCAGGATGGTTGAGATCATCCGTGGTAAATTGAGCTGATTTGAGTTTGAGATAACAATCAAATTGGGCTCTCTTGGAACAATCAGAGTTGAATAACTTCAAGAAAATCACTGGATATTACAAATGATGTATGACAATTTACAAAGCACACTGGGTAAAAACAACACATGAGGTTAAAACAAAGGAACTAGTGTGTGATGTGGCATACTGACAAACTTGTAACCACAATGCATGGTTGAACGCACACTGGCATAGAGTAACCACAGGAGCTGCACACAGTTGCCACAGATGGTCCCGTGTACAAGGTTGTGCAATAAAAAACAAAGGTAGTCTCTTTCACTGCTCAAAAAGGGAAAGTACTCGTGGGCTCTTTTACAAACGCAAAGACACATTATGCTGTAGTGTTGTTATTATTAAAAATCCTAAATCTACATGCAATTAAACTTCTTAAAGAAAACTCACTGCAAAGCAGCTGCAGTGACAATCAGTCATAAATATACATGTATGTGTACATCGCTAGTTGAGACCGCACGGAACATGTACAGAAATGAAGTACATGTAAGAGCTCATAATAGTAACAGTGTATAACAAACAGTTAATTATCTCTCTCGCAAGCACATGGAAAGTTCTTTTCCAATGCTTTTGATTGCAGCGTTCAGCGGGCTCAATGCACGTGAGTAACGCAACACCGTGCATGGCGCATTCTTTGAGCTCACACTCCCAAGTGTGCCCTCCTACTTGCCAACGGCTGCTTTTTTTTTGGAAGCTACTAGCCCTTTAGGCTCAGCTGCCAGTCTCCTTTTGGTGTTCCTGACCAGGGGAGGAGTTTTGGTGGAGGTTGCATCTAACCTTTTTCCTGTCAATGTTACAATATTACTGTCAGGCCTGTGGAGGTTGTCGGTGACATTGCCTGCAGCGTTCGCACATGGCTTCAGCGAATTCACATGCTTCAAGACAGAGACTCTATTTCCCGCATTCTCATCCATAATTCGACTACAAACCAAGAACTAGGTTCACTTAAACTGTTCTGTTGGAAACTGTTTCCTGTGTGGTACAGATTATGCAGCCTATTGTCACGCAAATATGAGAAAAAGTTGTAAATTTTTTGTAACTAGTAACAGCACGGTTGAGTTTTGTGGGTAAATTTCACACTCTGAGTTGTGGGTAAGTACCGCGCAATATCATAGAATCTTGCAGTAACCGAAGTTAGCGAGGTTGAATAGTACCAGTGTATAACAAACAGTTAATTGTACTTTCTCTCGCAAGCACATGGAAAGTTCCCAATTCTGTGTACCGTCCTTTCAAAAGAAATCTTTGAGCCTTGACCGTTACATTTTCTGATCCTCTGTTTAATGTATTGATAATAAATACATACAAGCATAATAAATGAGTAAATGAAATGAACATGTGAACTTGGTACTTACATGTACGTAGAGACAATTTGTCTGGAAGGCTTCACCTCCTCTGTTTAGACATGAAAACACTACCTTCATTGTGAGGACAGCTCCATCTTTAAGTTTCATATTAATTGTGAGTCCCAATTTCTCATGTATACCGTAAGTGGCTTTTGAATTTGAATTTTTTCTACACAAACCAAATATTTGGGATGGGCAAATTAGAAGGAATGCACTGAGTTTGGTTCAGTAAACACTGATCATTGCAATACATGTCTAAAATGTCCCAGTTGATCATGTCAAACCACAGTTGGCTTTGACAGGTCAAGAACATATTTATTCTGTTCATTATTGTATTTTAACAAACCTGTAAATGTATACTTGATGTCCGTAAAACTACTTAATTGTGAAAACTCCAGTTAACAAATGCATAATAATTGTGACCTGCTCTGCACAAAAGGGTAATACATGCAAGTTGCGCAATGCCAAAACACGTAAGGACCTGCTCTACATGTACCGGTACATGTATTTTGAGAGGGAAAAATTTATTCCAAAACGTGATTTTGTGGTTTTTTTTCTTTAATAGCTTCTATAATATTTATATTTTCATAATCGGTGACCACAAACATGGATACTGATGATTAAAAATGAAAAATTGATCATTCAGTAGGAAATCCTACATAGCATTGTGTTTCCAAGTGAAACACTTTATAAGCTTTTTCTCGAAAGAGCTTTTATTGAATTCGAAAAATGTGGATATGTACAAATGTCTAGTTCTCTTATCTGTTGATCCATCACAATATTACGGACAATACATGTACCCACACAGTCATGCAATTTGATGCAGCTGTCTTTCCAGCAAGTTGAATTCGTACAAGAGGCTACCCTGCAGCTCTTGGTATAGTTGAATGAATTGTTGCAAGGGACCAGGTGGGGAACCTCTCTGTATGCAAACAACAGACACGGGATATATTTGCCCCATTGCTCCGGTTCATTCTGTGTATAGGCACGAAGCATGTGCCTTAAGGTCTCATTAAATCTCTCAACTAGACCAGTGGTCTGATGGTGGTATGGGCTTGCTTTTAGCTGCTTAATACAGGGATGAGATTTCTCAGCTTTTCAGCTGATTTCAGCTTTTTTTGTTGTGGTTTTCAGATTTTTTTTCCTCACTGTTTGTGTACAAAAGTATAGGAAATTTTCACAGTTCAGCTTCTTTACATGTATGTCTTTTTTCAGCTGTTTTCAGCTATTTTTATCATTGGTCAATCTCATCCCTGTTAATACCAAGGAGCTCACACACTTCTTTCATAAATGAAGACAGAAATTTGTCCCTTGGTCAGATATTATTTTTTCTGGTATTCCCACACTTGAGAACACCTTGATTAATGCATCAGTGATAGTCTTTGCTTCTTTATTTGGGATTGGTATGGCCTCTGGGTATCTAGTTGCATAGTCATATACTACCAAAACTTAACAGTTTCCCAGCTTTGATCTAACTGCTGGCCCTGATATGTCAATTGCAATACGCTTGAATGGAGTATCTATGATAGGAAGTGTTTGTAAGAGAGCCTTAGTCACTCCGCTATGCCTTGCTGCTTTCTGACATTTGTCACAAGACTTGCAGTATTCTAGCTGCTACATCTGCAAACACATTTGGCCAAAAGAAGCTCTTCAGTATACGTTGCTGGGTTGTATCTTTTCCTAGATGTCCGGCCATTGGTATGTCATGGGCAACTCGCAATATCTCTGCCCTATGGGGGAGAGCGGGGTAAGATGAGCCAATTTTGGGTTAAGTTGATATAACCTATAAAAAATCACCAGGGCCAGGGTAGTAAATATACTGTCTTATAGACCACATGGTAACCTATGTTTATTGGCAACATTGGCTAGTAGCATGCACTCTGCAGTGTCAGTATGAGCCAACAAAAAGAGAAGTGAAACGGCTCAATTTACCCCATTGATGGGGTAAGTTGATCCATGTCGTGGGGTAACTTGATCCACTGTACCGTAAAAATGACAGCGGCTACTCATCAGGTGAAAAAAACAGGAACATTGTGTATTGAGTTTACATTGGTACAGTAACATTTATTCCAACCATCACTTAACTGCAAAAGAATTGGTATTTAAATAATAACAGAACTTCAAAGCACATGAGTGACATACTTTTGAAACTCAATTCACGCTTTACTAAGTAGAGTGCATGTATGTAAATTTCAGTTCACCTTGTCTCATACTCGGTCATTGTCTAAACTTCAGCAGAAACAACACAAAATAGAATCTTGCTGTGGTGTAAGAGAAAAGGACAGTAGAAGAGTTTGTTTCCAAATGCATTCAACGTCATTTTGCCACTTTGTATACACCCTCCGTCTTGGCTTTTCTGTTATTTAACATAAAAGTTAAGAAAAAAACGCCCACAATAAACATCTTTGATTGTACATGTATACCATAAAAGTGCACTTTGTGCCCTTTTTCTCAAATACTGAATTTGGATATAATGCATCTATTTCAACTTTAAACGTTACGTTTAAGTTTAAGCTCAAGTTGCATTTAAACAACAGTTGACAACTTTGTCAGAGAGACCCCCCAACAATTTTTGGTTTTAGAAGTTTTTGGACAATGTCATCCTTTGCGAAAAATGCAGGGTTATCAGGATTTGGAACAAAAATTTTGTCTTCACAATCTAATTGACCAGACACTTTCCGAAGGAAGATGCCCTCATAACTGAAGGCATCATCAACATCAACACGGGCTACATGTATGTAATGCACTACATGAGACTTTCCGGCAACCTTCACCACAACAAAGTCACCCTTAATGATGTCCATGTCTTCATCCGATGTGTCTGATTCATCACTGATTTCCAAGTCAGACTCTGAACTGGAGGAAGAGCTGGTTTAGTCAACAGGTTCTTTTTTACGTTTCTGGAACAACACCCTCTAGAGTTCCATTGTTTAAGATTGTTTGTTCTTTACTTGTTTCTTTTCATGGATGGCTGCAATTTCATCACGAACAGGGGTGTCAGTGAGGAGTTTTGTGCTTCTTTTCTTCCAGCCTTGAGTAATTGGCTTTCTTTTATGCCCTGCCTTTTGCACAGGAATAATATCACTTGGTGAGGAGTATCCATCACTTGATTTGCCTGAATTTTCAGCTGAGTCATTTGTTGATGAAGTTCCCGGGTCAGATGCTGATGGTTGCATGGAGTCATCAGGTTTGTCTGCTTGTGTTAGAGAGGTATTACTGGTGCTTACATTTCCATCCTCATCTAGCATGTGGTTAAACTTTTTTCCATCTTTTCCTCCAGTTTGTGATCCGTGGTTGCTGCAGGTGCAAAATCAACATCAGTGAACAGTTTTCTGTTGAATGGATATATTCCAGTGCTCTTGAAACCTGAAATAACAGTTCTTGGTAGAAGAGCTGACGTATGTGTTTCATTCACCAAAATTGCTTCGAGGGCAGGATCTTAGCCCCATTCATAAGAACTTGGGCAGAATGGCTCATTTCTATAAAAATTAAAGGACAAAGTTGGAGTTGTAACCTGATGCGTTATAACAGTTCTTGGTAGAAGAGCTGACGTATGTGTTTCATTCACCAAAATGGGAATGTCATAGATTGTGACTGTTTTTCCTGGATTGGAACGTAGCCACCCTCCATAGCTTGGTTAAATGCACCTTTAAAAGGTGCATACACAGCCCGGTTCAGCGGCTGGAGACGATGTGAGGTGTGTGGCGGTAATGTAAGCATCACAATACCATTAGCCCTAGCGACATCAACAGCTTGTACTTCTTTGTCTCCTGACTAGTGATCATTTGACCCTTGATGCTCTAGCATTTTGTGAGGTTCAGTGATGGTTCTCTTGTTTTCTCCTTCTTCATCATCTCGCTTGGCACCAGACAACACCATCTCTTATAGGGATTTGAAGTTGACAATACCCTTGTTGCGGTAATTGAGAGTGATTCCCCGTACTTTACACACGGCAAATTCATCATCAGAACAGGTGCTGTGAACCTTGTACCCGTAGTTCTTCGGCCCTCCTGAAGCAAATTCGGTGATGTAGCTTCCTGGTCCCTAGTCTTTTTCTAACTCGTTAGTGAGGTCACCCAAGTAGTCACCCAGAGGGAGTTTGTACTGATCTAGTCCATCTTTGACTACCTATATCATGCTGTCTATGTTGTAATAGAGGACCCGCTCACCAAGACGCTCCAGGAAAGAGTACAACTTTGACCAAGCCTGTGCCGTAGTGTAGGCTACAATAGCCACATTGGTATTTCCCGCTGCCTCAACAAAGTCATCCTTCTGCTGCCACTGGACTTGCACAACTTCCGCGTTCACGACGTTGATGCGGTTGATTGTCTTTCTGTTATCGAGAAGCAATGCGAAATAACCTTTCAGGGAATTACCGGTAACATACATGTAGACTGCTTTCGGCATGTTTTGACGCCGGGCAAACTATCCTCAAAAGCTGTTGAGTGTCAATTTTGCCACAGCCCTCATATCCGTGTTCCTCGGGGTCAATCTTGATGCCTTCATGGAGCTCATAGTCGTGGATGTAGTGGTTCTTCCTTTCCTAAGTGTCGCACCATTCAGGCCAGCCACTAGCCTCTTGTTTGAGCTTCAGGAAGGTGTTGATGTAGCCAGTGAATAACTCACCTATTTCACTCACACTTCGAGGATTCGGACAAATCAGTATCCTACTGACACAGCCTTTTTCAGTTCGTCCGTGACCCATGTACCAGTGATACATGTAGTTCTATCGGTCTTCTCGTGTTCGCAGAGGATCATCTGCTCAGTATCACTTCCCTTTCAGAGTGAACATGATCTTTCTGCCCACATGGCATGGGAGAACGGGATGATACAACCCTCTTGGTGGCAAGATTTCGGCTTTCACAAATCCTTCATACTCGTCGATGGATGCTTCGAAATTCTCTGTATTGATCTTGGGATGACCAAGGGGAAACTCTGCGTACTTGCAAACCCAGGGATAGAAGCTACACACGTCCACATACTCTATTTTTTTCATCTGGGCCACACCTGTGGAACAGCTTGGTAGCATTTGTCCTCCCTCCAAAGAAAACGTCTTCTGGATTGAGGGGCGGGTTGACATCTTGGGTGTCCTCTTGAAGATCATCTAGAAATACTCAGAAATCTGGGTTATTGCATGTCATTCATCGAAAGTCGCATTCCCACATTTCTTGCACATTATATCCTGTTCGTCTCAGATCCAAAGTACGCCGAACGGTAGCTTCATGGTGGTCTCTCATGCTCAGCAAAGTCATGGGGGCTGTCACGTCCCGAGCATGAAACGTTTGGGGCATATGTGCCACAGACAACCGTGGAACTCAAACACGGTCTTTTCATGCAGCCCATCCTTGTGGGACTTGTCAATTGTAACCTTGCTGCCATTGAGTGAGTACCTGATGTTGATGTTTCTGTTCTCTCTTTTTCGTATCCATGCTGTCT